TTGGCGGCACGGAGTGAGAGATTCAGGTTGGGCCGGGAGGAGGTCACGCGTCGCTGGTGGCGATCACCACCACCACACACCACACGCACACGCACACGCACACACACACACACACACACACACACACACACACACACACACACACACACACACACACACACACACACACACACACACACATACAGACGCGCGCGCCCACCCCTCGATCGACGGCGTTCTGCGTGACGTCCTTGAGGCAGGTCTTCACGTCTGAATCCAGAGTTCGCTCAAGCATCCTGCGAGCAGAAGCAGCGAACGTGTGGGTTGAGAACGCTGGTTGCACATGTATGCAAGGTAACGCCTGTGTGTGCATGCGTGTGTGCATGTGTGCATGTGTGTGCGTGTGCGTGGAAGGAGAGCGAAATGGAAGTACGAAGCAGTGCACCTGCTTGCGGCGTCTTCTGGCACATCCACAGTCTTGAGGGCTTCAATCAAACTCGCCTCTTCGGTGATGTCTTTGTCCTGCGCACAGAGAGAAACGTAAGCGCGTTTGAAGCATCGCGTGGTGTGGCAAGTGGTCAACTTGAGCACCTCAAGACTTGATGACATGCACACGTAGGTCTTCAACGAGTACACACACAGCACAATTGCTCAAGTGAAAAGGGTGCTTACGTCCCGCCAGACGCGTTGGAACAGCGTCTCAGTTAAGGGCTCCACGAGCTGATTGTGCTCCATCGTGCACACGGTCAGCAGTCGCTGTGCACGCAGTGAACCTGGACAAGCAGACGACACGCCAACAACCAGTGTAGATGAAGTATGAGTGAGAGGTTTTGTAAGTGCATGTGGTGGATACGCAAATCAGGTTTGCAGCCTGAGGAACGCACCTTTCTTGAAGAGAACGTGAAACATGTCCTGGTGCCATTGCAGAGGGGAAGCCAAGCCCAGCGAGAAGGAGGCATTAGTGCTGTGGAGTGACGATGACGTAGTACTCAAAACACGGCCAAGTGCAATTATTCACCCACACACATACACACAAAACACCCACACACACACGCACAAGGGTATTTAAAATTGCGTGTGTACACGCGCACCTTTGGCAAGTTGATGTCGACTGCTTCAAACTTGCGGTAGCGCATGAGGTCCGTCGGCATATGTGACCCCTTCAATGGAATCATGGCCGGGGATTGGTTGCCTGAAACCGCGCCACATCATGGTGAAAGTGAGACTGCGTTGTAAGGCTTACTTGGTGGGCATGCCAACCAACCACGCACACACACGCACACACACACACACATACAGACACTCACAGACACTCACAGACACTCACAGACACACACAGACACACACAGGCACACACAGACACACACATACAGACACTCACAGACGTACAAACACAAGTACGCATACACAAGCACAAGCACGCGACGACGTGATGGTTCTCCTTCACTCGCGACAGACGCGTACCGCTGACTTTGAACAGGCCACCAATGGCAACCGGGGTGTACTGCACGCTCACATCCCATGTTGGCTTGTATCTGACCCACAACACAAGCAAAAACGTGTCAGTTGCGTTGATCACGTGTGTTTGTGTTTGTGTGTGTGTGTGTGTGTGTGTGCGTATGTGCGTATTGTGTATGTGTATGACAGTCAGAGGGAGGAATGGCTAAAGGGAGCACACGTCCTCTCTTGCAAGCGATCCAAGTCTCACCTCTTCAACAACTGCTCGATATGAGAGACGATATGATGAAGTGGAATGTTCGGCATAGACAAGGTGCGGAAAAGGTGTGAGCTTGTACGCTTTAATCATCAAAGTTGCGTTTCTCAGAACAAGACCACAGTCAGCACAGCTACCCTTCCTTCTTGCCACCTTTGTTGCCCAAGAGACAGTGCTGCGCGAAAGGCGTGTACCTCAAAGGCAACGTATGAGTATGGAGAGAGCACGTCGTAAACAAACTCCAGCCGCTTCAAGGCGCCCGCCATGATGTTGTCGGTTGTATTGGGTTGTATTGGGTTGTATTGGGTTGCAGTGGTGGTGGGAGGGTGGGATGGTGTGGGATGATGTGATCGTGTTGGATGTGTGGGGTGCTTTGAACTCTTGACTGGTTGGTCAGTGAGCAGTGCAGCAGCGTTGTTTTTGTTTGTATTGTAGAAGATTGACGAACGATTTCAGACAATTTTCTCACATCTTGAAGGTCATGGTGGCATTGGCAGACGCTTCTTGGCTGCGTGCGCGCGCGCGCGCGCGTGTGTGTGCGTGAGTGAGTGCGTGTGAGTGCGTGTGTGTGTGTGTGTGTGAGTGAATATGCGTGTGAGAATGAGCGACCATGGAGTGATGCACTGCAGTCACTGACAGGCAGGCAGGCAGGACGGTAGGCAGGCAGGCAGAGAAGAGACAGACACTCACGGATACAGACAGACAGACAGACACACAGACAGACAGACAGACACACACACACACACAGACAGACACATACATACAGACAGACAGACACAGACAGACACAGACAGACAGACACAGACACACAGACAGACAGACAGACATGGACAGACACACGTTCGCTCTGACATGCGTACTGACCACTCCTCAATGAAGGTGTCCAAGGTGACACGTCCCTCAACATAACCCATGGGCTCGTCGTTGTAGTCCTTGAAGAACAGGTTCTTCATCGCTGTGCATGCATGCGCAGGGTTGTACATGAATGAATGTGTGCAAGTGTGCAAGTGAGAGAGAGTGCATGTGTGTGCCTGTGTGTGCGTGTGCAGAGCAAATGGCGTCAGTGCAGCCAGATGCATGGCAGGCATGTTCAGCACTCTCATATCAACACGCACACAGACACAGACACAGACACAGACACACACACACAGACACACACACAGACACAGACACAGACACACACACAGACACACACACAGACACACACACACACACACACACACACCAGAGTGGTACTGTTGCATGGAGATCCAGCCGCGGTTGCTTGGGTCGTAGGTGCGGAAGACGGCCTTGGCGTTGCGCTCGTCAAAGAACGTCGGCAGTGAGTCTGACGGGTTGTCCACTGCCATACACACACACACACACACACACAGTCGCACACAGACATAGACAATGGCGTGAAGGGCAGACATGTTCACAAAAAAAACAAGTAAATTGACGTGAGAACAAAGGAACAGCGAGACCACGCACACGACGGCGCGTAGATGCAGGTGAGGCATGGCATTGACAAACATGCGATCAGTGGCTGCACGTACAGTTCTGCGCTCTCTCCTGAAGCTTCTCAACATAGCCGAGGAGGAATGCCCTTGGATCCTCTGGAGTTGGTGGTGGTTATGGTGGTGGTGGTACAAGCCAGTGCAACACACGTGAACGACATGATGGGGCAGGGATACGGAAAAGGAGGAACAACAGCAAACCGCGTGCATTGCAGCGTGCACAAAACAAACTACAGTTTACACCGTTGCACAGCTTTACTCACACTCAAACACACCCAACACACCCAACACACCCAATACCCCCAACACACCCAACACACCCACACCCACACACACACACACACACACACACACACACACACACACACACACAACAGACAGACAGACAGACACACGCACACACGAAGCCAGACCTGGGCGGTGGAAGACGAGTTGTGCGGTCATGTTCTCCAAGAGTTCGCCAATCTTGTTGTCACGCAAGTATTCCTCGGCTTGTTGCTGTGGGGGTTGTGCGTTGGCATCTGTGGAGGCTTGTGTATTCCGTTGAGAGATTGCTGCCTTTGGCGGTTGTGGGTGGTGCCGCTGTGGATGTGATGCAGCTGTGTCTTCTGGCTCTGTTACAATGGGCTGTGTCTCCGCTTCTTCATCATCATCTTCACCATTTTCTTCTTCTGCATCACCTTCGGGTTCCTCAACCTTTGGCTCTGGCGATTCCACGCGTGGCTGTGCGGTGCCTTCATCCGCTGGCGCCTCTGAGTTCAGTGCTACGTCGTTGGTCGTCTCAGCATTGGCCTGGTCACTGCCTGTCACCTCTGCGATGGCAACTGTTGAAGCGCTTGCCTCTCCTTCTGTCGTGTGTGGCTGTGTTGCTTGTGTCGAATCTGCCGCTTGCTCGGTCTCTGTCTCTTTTTGTTCTGTTTCATCCTTTTGCGCATTGTCGTCGTTTGAACCCTCCTCTTGTTGTTGTTGTTGTTGTTGTTGTTGTTGTTGTTGTTCTTGTGCGGCCTCGCCGGCATCGTTGTCTGCAGCATCCTGCTTCGATTCCGCTTTTGGATCAGTGGGCTCCTTCTGCTCTTGCTCACTTTGTTCTTGCTCTTGCTCCTTCTGGTCCATCTTCTCCACCCTCTCTTCGTCGCTCATCATCGTCGTTGCTGCGCTGGCTGCGCGCACACCCTCCGCATCCGCCATGGTCTCTTGCTGCCTCTTGTGGCTTGCTGTGGCTTTTTGGTTGTTAGGCAAAATTGACTTGGCAAGGGCAAAGTTGCCTTTGAGGCATTTGGCGCGCAAACACGAACAAGCGAAGCACCAGCACAAGACGACGAGACGACTGAGCAGCAGCTGTGGTGCTGTCGGTCGTGCGTGCGTGCGTGACACAGGTGTTGTGGGTGGGGGGTCGACAACACTTGCCGTCGCTGGTTCGCTTGCGGTGCGATTTTCGCCACACACAAGTGCACATTGCTCCTGATGATGACGGCAAGCCAGCCCAGCCGGGCCAGCAGCCGCAAAGCTGCAGCAGCCGCGCAAGCCAACGACAACGCAAACAGCAACGGTCACGTGGCTGCGTCACGCCGTCAGCAGCGACAGCAGCAGCGACAGCAGCAGCGACAGCAGCAGCAAAAACCAAAAGCAGGAGAAGTTGGGGTTGGTGGCGATAGCAGCAGCAATAGCAAGGCGCTGGCTGCCACGAACGGCATCCCTCGCCGCCGCAGCGGTCGGGTGCGGAAGCCAGTGATACGTGAAGGCGATGCCGACGAGGACGAGGCGCATGCGCAGTCCAAAACGAGGGCGCAGGCTAGTGCATCGTCTGCAACGGCTTCGCCTCGTACCAGCAGGGCCCGCAACGGCAACGGTAACGGTAAGGGCCTGCACACACCTACTTCTGCGCCAGGGCCAGCACGTAACCGGCGCCGATCCCAACGCATCAAGCAGCAGGAGCCAGTTGAACCGCACAGCGCGCCGCACAAGCGACGCAGCAGCAGCAGCAGCACGAGTGGCAATGGCAGCAGCAATGGCAGCAAGGCCGCAACAGCAGCCAAGATGCCAAAAACGAAGCAAGTGAAGCAGCAAGCGAAGCAGCAAGCGAAGCAAGTACAGAGGCAGGGGAAGACAGCAGCAAGGAACGACAAAAATGCGAAGAGGTCGAAAGCAGGGTCTGCGAGAGAGGTGGCGCAGCAGCACCCCAAGAAGAAGCAACCCCAGCGTCGACGGAACCAGTTAAAGAAACCCAAGCTGAAGAAGGAGCCAAGGCACAAGAGGAACGGCAAGGGAGATGATGATGATGATGATGATGATGACGAGGAGGATGACGGGGAGGAGGAACGCAAGCTCAATGGAATCAACACGGCAGAGCTGCAACGGACGACGAAGACACCAACGGAGAAACCAGGCGCTTTGCAGTGCCTCATCAACGAGGTATGTGGTTGTGTTCGATGTGTGTGATGTGTGTGTATGTGTGTGATGCGTGTGATGTATGTGTATGTGTGTGTGTGGTTGTCGCTGTTTTGTTGACCGCGCCTTTGGAGGATACCTTGCACTTTTGCGTCGTTGCTCACACCTGCTTACGCACGTGTGTGTGTATGTGTGTCGCTGATACCTACTGACACATGTGTGTGTGTGTGTGCTTGATTTTGTTCAGGCGAATGCGCTGGAGGAAGAGGAAGAAGCGCAGCCGTCGTATGAACGAGAGACGGAAACCTTTTGCTCGGCTGTGCGTGAGCTTCATGCAAACGGTAACTTCAGTTGTCAACTTGAGTCCACGCGTGCATCATGCGTGCTGCAAACTCTCCGATGCGGCGCAGCGATCTGTCTTGCGTCAATGGAGCTCAGCTGTGTAGCCATTCACCAACCCATTATGACCAACTAACTCGCTCACGCCATTGCATCTCACACCACCACCAACACCAACACCACCACAATCCATCCATGCACCATCCGCTGCCTGCAGGCATGCTGCAAACGGGGGACGTGTGCGAGTTCAAGGGCGTTGTCGCTGAGCTGGATGGTGATGGCGATCTTGTTCTTGCGGACGGCCAGGTCTTCCCAACCCCCGGGATGATGGCTTGCATCATGCAATGGAGTAAGCCGGCACGTCCACCCGCCGTGCTGTGTGGTGTGGTGCCTGCTGGCAGCTGCAGTTGCGTTTTGCTTTGTGATTTGTGGCGTGACCAGCATCCACTATCAGCACTTACGCATACCCATGTGTGTGTGTGTGTTTGATTGTTTCTGTGCCATCAGGTGGCTTCAGCAGCAATGGTTGGAGCTGTGTCAAGTTCTACTCCTCATCACCGCAATTGATGGATGATGGACCCACATCTTCCACCAAAAGAGGAAAGCGAGCTCGCAAATCGTCTGCAGCGGCCAAGCCAGCCTACTCCATGCTCACCATCGCACAGCTGCGCAAACAGCTTCTCAAGAAGGTGTGAATTCTTGTGTGCATGCATGTGTGCTTACGTGCTCATGTTTGTGTGCGTGTGTTTGTGTGTTCGTGTGTGTGTGTGTTCGTGTGTGGTTGTGCGTGCTTGATTGCATGTGTATGGTCATGTTTGTGTGCACGCAATTCCGTGAGTGTTGTGCATGAGCGTGTCGTGTATCCTGTCTTCTTGCATCAACGTCCCGTCTCTTAGCGCACCATCTCGGTGCATTGCGTCAATGCGCGCTCTGCTGCTCCCCACCCCCTTGTAACCCCCCGCTATCCCCCCATACCCCGACATCGCACGTGTTTCACTCTCTGGTGACAGGAGCAAGAGCGCCGGCAGCTAAAGAGGGAGGAGGAAGCAGCCAGTGGCCAGACAGCAGCGGCACCACTACCTGGCACGACACCCACCACCGCGGCTGCAGTTAAGACGGAAGCAAACGCAACAGCAGCCGACAAAGGAGAGAATGGCGCATCATGTCATGACACGATGAACATAGGAAAAGATGATGATGATGATGATGATGGTGGTGGTGGTGGTGGTGATGATGATGATGATAATGATGGCAGCAAGGCGGCATCGCACATTGTCACCAAACTTGAGGCCAGTGCAGCGTAAGTGCACGTGTGTGTGTGTGTGTGTGTGCATCTGCGTGTGTGTGCGCATGTGTGCGTCACGTCTCACGTATTGCTCCATCTTTGATGTATCACAGAACGGCATCGCACGGCGCAAATACTCTTTGCAGGTGCGAATGTGCGTGTGCTTGTGCTTGTGCTTGTGTGTGTGCGTGTGTGTGTGTGTGCATTCCTGTGTTTGGTTTGCGCTTCCCTGAACTTCAGCAGCTGCATCGCATTCACATCATTCTGTGTGTCTTCTTTTGTGTTATGATGTCGTGTCCTCCACAGCCCATTTTGGCGCCACGGCGTTACGGACCGAATCTCCGGTCGTCTTGGCAGATGCGTTGCCGGCACCTCCCCACTCCTCGCACACCTGGAGGTCAGGCAGTCATGTGTGCGCGCGTGTACATATGCGTGTGCACTTGTGCGCGTATGTTGTTGTGTGTTTGTGCGTGTGCCTCTTTGTGTGTTTCACACATCTCATGCATGTGCGCGGGCACAATGCTCCACTGTACTGCACTTCTCATGCTTCCCTCTTCAGCTCTGTGTCCGCTGTGGATCAAGCGGCGTGTTCACAGACGGCAATGACAGCACCAATAGCGGCTACAACAGCAGCAACAACAACAGTCACAACAACAGTGCCGATGGTAATGCTACAAAGAGCACACCGTCACCTTCATCGTCCCTCGCGTTCGTGCACTGTCGCGTGTGCTGCCAGCCATACCACCGCTTCTGCACCGGTGATTCCAGGTTTGTACTTTTGTGAAGTTGTGCGCATATCACACCCCGATCCAAGACACGCACAAACACACACACGCACACACACACACACACACACACACACACACACACACACACACACACACGCACACACACGCACGCACACATTGGTTTACAGACGTTCATTTCACCCTCTCCTTCACCCACCATGACATGCTGTCCGATATTCTT